CACTGGAACAGACTGCCTAGGGAGGTGGTTGAGTCGCCATCCCTGGATGTGTTCAAGTGTCGTTTAGATGGGGTGTTGGGTGATATGGTTTAGGGGTGAACTTGTAGTGTAGGCTTAGTGGTTGGACTCGATGATCTTGAATTGTTCTATGATTCTATGAAGCACTTGCTTTGAATGGCCAAGTGTTTCCTTGCAGCCATTTCTTTTTTATGCAAGAACTTGGACACAAAACCCAGTAAAATCTAGAAAGCTCCAGGTTCATAGACAGTATTTCAAAACTTGGTTCGGGAGCTGAAGGCTCTGAACACCAGCTTTAACCTCCCCAAATGCGTGCTGCTCCCTGGATCAGGGGATGGCAAGGCACTGAGCCTACCAAGCATGGACACTTCAAAAGAAGGCAAGATCAAATAGTCAGTACCACCTTGGGGGGCAAATCAACAGAAAATCAAATTAAAAACTCCCAAATAAAAGCTCAAATACAATGTGTTGTCAGTACCTCAAAAAATTTGCAAAAAGGACTCGTACAAAAAAATCCCACCCAAACCAGAAAAACTCAACGTCCCCTATTTTTCACACTCACTTCCTATGGGCAGCAAAACTGTGTCTGGCATTTGGCATTTCAAGTCTCCTTTTATCATCACAGGGTGAAACGTGCAGGCTTCCATTCCAGCACACTTAAGTGATGAGGGCAATTTGGACTAAAAACCTTAGGAAAAAACCTAGTACCTGTTCAACCAACTATTACTGTCAGACATCAATCTACAGAAATGTTAAGGAAAGAGGTAAAAACCACTCATCGTTAAAGCTTTGGTTGCTGCAATTTTGCTCATGCTTTTTTCCCCACTTTCACAACAGCTTCTTGATCCCCTCAGTTTTGTCCTGTTTTTTTCCAGGCAGATTAAAGGCCCAGGTGACACCAAGTGACGCATAACGAGTGGCATAGAAAAGGACATTTGTGAAAGAAGGCACATCTTTAGCCTTGAAAATGGAGAGGGTGAAAAAAATCCCAGACCTGTAATCATGCCTTACTTCATTCCCAGCAAACCAGCCCACGAGCTCTGCTTTGTAAATCACAATTAAACATTGAATCGTGGGATTTCTTGGCACTTGGCTCCTGGTAATACTCGCTTCAAACTCCTGTGAGTTGGGAGGCTCAATGCTCGGTATTGACCTTCTCAGTCAAAGCAACAAGGATCACTTGTTTTTATTTGTTTTTCTTTTTTAAAAATTAATTTTCGCCTTTCTTTTTTTCCTTATTTTTTGGAGGGAGACCTTTACTAACTCATGGAGTTAAAATTTGCAGTGAGAATCCGCACTGCATCATCTGAAAAATAAATCTGTCTCTTCTACAGTGCAATCACAGAAACACTACCCAGGTCCCTTAGTTTTACAGTAGTAACAGCAGCTCCGCATCTTGCTCGATTCCCTTCCAACAGGGCAGGAACTGTTTGCATCACTGTCTCTGGCCTAACTGTATTTGAGAAAACTATGGACATCTTTTTTAAACCCATTTATACCTCTTACTACTATCTTTTGACAAGCACCTTTTATTTCTAGCACTGATTCATCAGCTCCTTCAAACAAAACTACTTCTCTTTGCCCTGCATTGCCCTCGTACCGCAACTTTCTTAAGAGACTCCTGGACTCTTGGGGTATTTTCTCAGTCATATGCTCTGACACCAAGAAAACAAGAGAAACGTGGAAGGAATCCATGAATTTGAGGGACCAGATAGACAATTTTATGTCTATTAAAAAAGCATATTCCATTTTCATAGAATCATAGAATGGCCTAGGCTGGAAGGGACCTTAGAGATCATCTAGTTCAATCTGCCTGTTATGGGCAGGGACGTCACCTCTCGACTAGACCAGGCAACACACGGGGACTGAGTGGGAATCGAACCCGCGACCTTAGTGTTGGTCATTGTTGTCAGCACCGCGCTCAAATCACTAAGCTAACTGATCCACCTGAGCATTTTATCAGTTTATACATTTTAAGGCAAATGTTCTGGAGATATGGAAGAATTAAAGGAACCCTTTGAATAGTTTTCGTCCTATATTGCCATTTATCATGAAATCTGATGAAGGATTTAGAGCCATCCTGTTGTTTGGGGTTGGGTTGTGGTTTTTTTAAGTTCCTACTTCTACCTGCAATCATTCCTCTCTCCCTGTTGCTTCCTGAAGCGCAAGGTGGGCATGCAAAGATAAAGCTTGCTTCTCAGAGACCCTGCACGTCTCGGGCCACCTCGGTAACTGCTGCTGGGATTCATGGACACTTTGCCTGGGCCAAGCATGCCCACACAGCTCACCAGAAATTACTCACCGTGCTGCCACAGCACTCAGGCTAGCAAGGTAAAAAGCCTGCTGCATTTTCGGCTTTGCAAGATATGGAAAATGTGACTTGCCAGTGCCCTGGTTCTTCTGTAAACGCTTACGTTGGTGCCAAAGTGTGCTCAAATGAAAAGGCTGGTATGCCACATCCGCTTTGCCAAGGTGCCAACCCAGAGATCAGAAACCAAAGCACGACCCAAGATCTGTACTTTCACTCCAACTTGAGAAACTGATGGCAACATACATTCCTCTGTGTTCAGGAAAAAAAGAATCCCCCAAACCCTCCTAAGAACCATTCTGAGGTAATCAGCAGCAGATACATTTAGCACGCAGCATCTCATAAAACCAGAAGTTCACGTTATTCACATATACATTTTGGAGAGGAAAAATTACCTCCCAAGAAAAGTGTAAACTGTCTCACTCACAAGGGAGGGGGGTGTCTTTATGCCATCTTTCCAGGTACATTCATTCCTACTTATTAAGGTAC